TTGTCTATACTGAATCATGTACCCATTCATTCTCTTAGGAAGGCCAAGCAGGTTCTGCCTCTAACACTACTCTGAGACAGAAGGTCAGTAAGAATCCTGTTAATGTATTTTTTTTCCATTTATGTATTTGATACAGGGTCTCACTATGCAGCTTAGACTTGTAGTGATCTTTCTGTTTTCAGCCTCCCCAGTGCTAGGATTACAGGTGTGTGCCACCATGCCTGGACTTGGTTCCCTGGGTCAGTGTACCCGGGGTGGACTGGCAAAGCATGAGGAACTGGGGATCGAACCCTGGTCCCTGCACTTGCTAGAGGAGGCATTTAGCCAGCTGAGTTATCTTGCCAGCCCCTGTTAATGTATTTAGAACAGAATTTGTCATGACTTAAGTCTACTGCCTTTTTCTTACCACTAATAGATGAAAGCAGTCTAGATGTATGCTATGGATAAGGTTTTATTACTGTCAGGTAGCTTTATAGGTGAGTGGTCCTGATTATCTAATTTATGTAATAAGAACGGTTCATAGGGGCTGGAGAGATAGCTCAGAGGCATAAGCACTGACCTGGCAAGCACAAGGACCTGAGTTCAATCCCTGGCTCCACATGCCATGGGGTCTCAGTCCCAGATGCAGGTGCCTACCATGCAGCCCCAGTACCAGGTGTGGTAGTGCATACCTGTAATCCCAGCACTCAGGCAGTTGAGCCAGAAGGATCTCTGCAAGTTCGAGACCAGCCTGGAGGCTACAAAAGTGAGCACAAGGCCAGCCTGAACTGCAGAACTGCATAGTGAGACCCTGTCTCAAAAACAAAACAAAACAAACAATAGTTTACAAACAACCATTCTCAAACCTCAACGTTTTAGGCTGGTATCTTCTTAGTTAATAAACCCAAGATGTATTTTGCAGATTTCTCTGAACACTTAAAAGGTGGACAGCTTTTAACATAGAGCCAAGAGTAAAGTTGCATATTAGAATTTAGTATTTTATTATCCATAGTCATGTAAAAATTCATTACCATTATAATGGTAATTACAGGAATGTAAGAAAATACACACATGATGATCTGGGATTTGTCTTGGTTTGTCACTATATCCTCTTATGTAACTATTGGGAATCCTAACCTCTACCTGAGGGAAGTAATTCACGATATGTGGGACTGTTTTATACTCTGATTTACAGAAAAGTGCATATTGGAATTTTAGTCTTCATATAAATTCTCTTGGGTTGTAGGGATGTATAAATTTTATATTGCCAATAAAGGGGGAAATATTGTAAAGGCTTATATACCAATTTTGATTTGGCCTCTATTTTTTCTTTTCATTTTTTGTTTTGAAATAATTATAGATTTATAAAAAGTAACCACAAAAGAAAAGCCCATATAGAGAGGTTCTGTGTACCTATTTGTAGTGGGTAGTTCTTTGCAATTTATTTATTTATTTATTTATTTATTTTTTAAATTTTATTTTATTTGTGTGTGTGTGTGTGTGTGTATGTGGCCAGCTCAGCCCACCAGGGGGCGGGGCTGGCTGGCTGGCATGTGGTGCTGGGGGATTGAACCGCGGTCCCTGTGCTTTGCTAAGCTTGTTCTAAGTAGGTGCTTTAGACCACTGAGCCATCTCACCAGCCCTGCAATTTATTTTATGTATAGCTTCCCATGTGCCCTGGCCCCAACACCATAGTCAAGATGCAGGGTTCCATTGTCACAAGGCTTGATTTGTTCTGCCTCTGTTCTTATTCAAAGAATGTTATAAAATGGAATTTGACAGTGTGTAACCTTTAGAAGATTTTTTTTTCTTTGTATAATTCTCTGGAGATCATCTAGGTTATTCCAAATACCACTTTTGTACTTTTTTATTAATATTCCCTGGTGGGCCAATGAGGTAACTCAGAGGACTAAGTGCCTGCTTAGGCAAGCCCAGGGATCAGGGTTAGAACCTGGTCCTGAATGCCCTGCTGGCTTCACTCCTGGGGTGTGCTGAGCCAGTGACTGAGTCTAGGCATGGTGGTGCACACAGACCTGCAATCCCACCAGTGGAGAGGCTAAAAACAGGACGATCACTACGAGTCTGAGCTGTGTAGTGAGACCTTGTACCAAATATATACTTAAAAAATTAAATAAATTAATATTCCATGATATGGCTATACCACAGTTTATTTATTGAAAGACATCTAGATTCTAGTGTATGGCAATTATGAATAAAATTGTCATAAACATTCTTGTACAGTATTTGTTTTTGCACAAACACTAATATCATTTCTCTGAATAACTGCCCCAGAGTGAAATTGGTAGGTCATAGGTAGAAGTAGGGCAGTTTTTGAAGAAACTGCTGAAGCTTTTTCTATATTAGCTGTACAGTAGGGTTTTTTTATTGTATTTTTTAACAATGAAAATGTAAGATAAATGTTTATTATGTACTACTTAAAATATGCATTCATTTTTGGTTGCAGTCTTATTGCCTTTATGTGTCTGGTTATTTCTTTTGACTTTACCGGGGTATGGTGACATTGCCCTTCAGTCTTACTTGGGTCATTGGTCATTTTGCTCATTTTGGAACTCAGGAGGAAATTCCCGCAGCTTCCTACCCACACTGCCCAAGTGTGCTCTTTGTTCTCCTGTCCAGTTTCAAGTGGGCCCCAAACTGAGCCTTGAGTCAGCTCTCAAGAGAGGCCTTCGCTACCTTGACTTTGGACCTACCCAGCTAACTGGCTTCTGCTGGAGCAATGAACCATGTCCGCTGCTGTCAAACCTTGGAATTCCCTTCCCTTTGGCCCAGACCCTACAGCTCTTCTGGCCATTCTTCCCCAGCCACTTCTGTACTCTGCTGTCCTAATTCCACTGCTTTGTCTTTTCCTCCCCATACATATGCGTGCTGTGCCTAATGAAATTTCTCTGCTGGACTAGAAATTCCTGCTGGAATTTTCTTGCTGATGTCACCAGCAGCCTTCTTATAGCTCAGTGTAATTTTGGTGTTTCAGTGTTGTTCTTCTGTGGCCTGCCTGCCTTTCTTGGTAGCATTTAGCACTCATGATTACTGTTTTTTGTGAAAATACTTGGTCTTGTCTGCATCCATTAGACTGCTGCTGCTTATTCTGGCTGATGTTTCCTTTGTGCATATCCCTTAAAGTGTGAGATTCCTGAGTTCTGTTTAAGGTCAGCTTTCATCATTCTGGATGATCTCATCCTTTCACTCAGTCTGAATCTCAAACTTCTCTTGCATGCTTCAGACCTATAATCTATTTTTCCCCTGTGCTAGCTTTCAGTCACTTGAACAAAATCTTGGACCTGAACAATGTGAAGAAGGAAAGGTTTGTTCTGGCTTGCAATTTCTGGGGTTTGTGTTTCTGCTCTTAAGTAGAAGTAGCATTGGGGTGGGGTCACCACACACTGGACAGCTGCTCACTGGGAGATAGAAAATTAGGGAGGCATCCCAGAGGAAGGGGCTGGGGACAGATACAGTCCCAGCGCCCCACCTCTCATGATCCACTCCCTCAGCCAGGCCCCACCTTCAGTTTTTGTCACCTCCCAGTAAAGTCATCAAATTACAAGCTCCTGGTGGGGTTAGTACTGTAGCTAGCATTAGATTAATTCACTTATTCAGTACTCATAGATGCATCTACAAAAGTATTTCACTAAGTACCTAGCTGTTTCTTAATCCACTCACAGTGACAGTCAAAGTTAACCTTCACAGCTGACTCTGCACCTACGTCTTAAATAGTCTTTTCCTGTCCCAGCACACTTAAAACGTGGTTCTCTCCCCAGCATTTTTGCTGCCGAGGAAGATTCTGGATTCTTTCTTCCCTGTCACAAACTTGGTATGGCCAGTAGGTGCCTCTTGAGCACTTTGCATGCAGTCTTCTATCCTCAGCTGAAGTGTGTTGTTCCCATACCAGGTTATGTTAATAATGCCTTTTCTGGTCAAACATTTAATTAATTGTTACACAAACTAAACCAAGTGTGAAAAGGAATAGTTGTATGAAAGCCAAATTGAATGCTTTGGAAAGACTGAAAGTAAAGTTACTAAACTATTGGTCAGCTGTGGAATTATGTAAAGCAACTGTAAAAAAGTAGGGAAATCACTTTATCACCAGAAAAATTCCATACTCCATTTCTCAAGTGTCCAAGATCTTGTTTCCTATCACATCAGTCCAGAAATCGTTGCCCCTAGATAATGAATGTGATTAATGCAGGAAGCATGATTTGGAATTCCAAGCAGCAGACGTGCATTCAAAGAAAAGAGCCACTTCAGAAGATTGATGAATAAATGTGGCTTTATAACTAAAACCCAATTATTTAAGGTACATGTCTTTTCTTGTATCCCACTTTATTTCTCATCTGATAAGGGATTCTATTCTCAGTGGTTAACCACTCTTCACCATTACTACTACTATCCCTGGTTGCCATCTCTGTCATTCCCTACTGCAGCTTATTAGCTGGTTGCCTGCCCTAAAATCTGTACCAGTTCCAATCCCTTCTCCTCAAATGTAAACCCCACCATGTCACTCCATTACCTGAAGCTAGTTCACAAAGACACTTAAATTTGCTGTGCCCACCTCTAAAGTCATACAGTAGTTTTTGTGCTGCTGTTTTCATACTAACTTGAATGGCTTTCATGCTTTCTTTGGGGGTGGTGGGGGGTGTGTTTGGGAGAGAGTGCTGTGTTTTTTCCCGCTGGGGCCTTCCTGTAAACTGCTCCTCTGCTACGAGCTTCTCTCCGGGTCTTTTACCACAAAACTGACCCTGCTGCCTTCATGTCCCAGCTTCTCTCCTGGAAGGCCGTATGTTGTTTCAATAGCAATATCCAGATTTCCCCGTTTAGCACATGATACCTCTTTGAAGGTAAGTGCAGTGCAAGTTCTGTATAGATAAGGTTTCTTTACTAACCTTGTTTGCCATAATTTCTACTTTAGAAATATTTGAGTAAACTTGTGGATTTTTGTTTTTTGTCTTTGTTTTGACTACTGTGGGTTCTCTGCACAACACTTGAATGTTCTGCTTCTTTTGTAGCTGCTGTCTCTGTTGGCCTTTATCTGTGAAGAAGTTGTATCACAATGTACTTTGTGTGGAGGACTGTACTTTTTTGAATTTGTGAGCTGCAGTGCCTTTCTTCTGAGTATCCTTTTCCTGATTGTATATTGTACTTCAGTGTACGACAGAGTTGATGCTATGAAAGTAAAATCATCGGTAAGCATGAAAAAATATAATCCATTTTATTTAGAGCATAGATGTTGTGTAACTTTGGATGGTTTATTGTTCAAAGTAGCAACTTTTTTTTTTTTTTTTTTTTTGCTCCAAATGCCTTCAGGGCAGGTTTGGCTGGCTTGAGTTGTGGGGATGGAACCACAGCAACCTGAGCCTGACTGCTTTGTTGAAGCAGCCACTTAAAGAACTGAGCTAAGGGGCAGGCCCCCCAAAATAGTAACTTTTAAAAGTCAGAACCATGAGAAGACTGTCCATTATTCCAACACTTTGCATCTAATCAACCCAGTTTTGCCTTCCGAGGGAATGACAGGGAAAGTGCTAGTGACACATATTGCCAGTGTTTTAAAATTTCAAGACAGGACTTGAAATTTTAATTTGCCCAGGCAGGACTCGAATTCTCAATCCTGCCTCAGTCTTCCTCAGTTCTGGGATTGCAGGCCTGCACTATTACTGCTGACTTGATTTTGTCACTTTTTTTCCTCATATTTCAGAATGTCCCTCTGGTTCTACAGAGCTAATGTATTTCTAGGGCTCTTAAATCACTTAACAGAATGTAGTTATATCTACATTTTGCTTTCATTTTATTATGAGCTAAGTTTCCTATAAGTGAATTAAGGTATTTGTTGATTCATTCTTCAAAAATTTGCCTTGCAATAAAATTACATTGAGGAAATCTTATTTTCACAAAATTGGAGTTTAACTTTCTAAAGACTGTCTCCTCACCCTTTGTTTTTGTTTGACTATGGTTTGGACTTATGGGATGACAGAATAATTCAGATAAGTAGTGAATTTAATGATGAAACAGTTGAGCAATGTACTTCATTGGTAGTGTTTCAGTTGTTGATAGTAACTAGTATTTAATGACCCAATCCAAAAATGGGCATCTGGGGTTTGATCTCCGGCACCACTTGCCATGCTGGCCTCGCCCCCAGGCATGCTGAGCAGGCCACAGAGTCCAAGTGTGGTGGCATGCACCCGTAATCCCAGCACTGGGGAGACTGAAGACAGGAGGATAACTATGAGTCTGAGCTGCATAGTGAGACCCTGTACTAAATACATTGAAAACAAAATTGGCATGTGAAATGAATAGACACTTCTCAGATGAGAAAGTACAGTCAGTGAATAAATATGTGAAAAAATATTCAGCATCATTGGTCATTTGAGAGATGCAAATTAAAACAACACTGAGATTCCATCTCACCCCCTAAAAAATGGCTGTCACCAAGAAATCAATAACAGATGCTAGAGGGGCTATGGAAAAAAAGAAACTCTGCTGCACTGTTGTTGAGAATGTAGACTTGTGCAACTACTATTGATAGCAGTGTGGCATTCCCTCAAAAAACTAGGACTGGAGGTTCCATTCAACCCAACTATTCCTCTTCTTAGTATCTTCCCAAAAATAATTAAAGGCATCATATGTTTAAACACACTATAAACCTGTGTTTATAGTGGCACCATTTGTAATCAGTAAATCTTGGAAACAACCCAGAGACCCATCAACTGGTAAATGAATAAAGAAAATGTGGGTTTTATATTTATCTATATTTATATATCTATATTTATTACTCTGCCTAACTACAAGGATGCACTTTGAGACCATATTCTTAAAGGAAATTGGATACATGTGCAAATATCACATGATTTCTCTGGTATGAGAAACTGAAAGTGTGAATAAGGACCAAAACATATAATAGGTGTTGGGAAATGGGAAGCTAATGTTCCAGTGAGAAGGGCAGTGAGCCAGAGAGATAGCTCAGCGGATTAAGCAGCTGCTTAAGCACAGGGACCGAGGTTCAACTCCCAGGCACCACATGCTGTGCCAGCCCCGTCCCCAGGCATGGGCTGCTGAACTGGCCACTGAGACTGGGTGTGGTGTCACTCACCTGTAATCCCAGCACTGGGGAGGCTGAAAACAGGATCATTACAAGTCCGAGCTGTATAGTGAGACCCTGTACCAGATCTATTAAAAAGAGGGGGGAGGAGGAGATGAGGGGCAGGGAGGGACACAAAGAAAAGAAGAATAGAACGAAGAACTGGAAACAGAACTTTTGTGGGTGGAGAGGGGAAGAAGGGCTGAAGGGAGGGGAGGTAAGGGGAATGGGAGAAAGAGAAGCAAGATATACTGTGCACAGGTACAAATTCCCTATGATGAATGTGATCATTATTTAGATCTAAAATGTACAAGTAAAATAAAAATAGGTGAAAAACTAGTAATTTACAAGAAATAGTACATGTGAGGGATGACATATGAAAGAATTCATGTCTCAGCAAAATGATAAAAATTACAGTAGATTATTTAGTATTAAGAACAAGAGCTGAGGGCTGGTGAGATGGCTCAGTGGTCTAAAGCACCTACTTAGAACAAGCTAAGCAAAACACAGGGACCGTGGTTCAATCCCCCAGCACCACATGCCAGCCAGCCCTGCCCCCTGGTGGGCTGAGCTGGTCTCACACACAAATAAATAAATAAATGTTTAAAAAAAAAAAAAAAAAAAGAACAAGAGCTGAGTGTGGTGGTGCACTCCTACAATCTCAGCATTCTAGTAGGCTGAGACCAGAGGATCAACATGAATTTGAAGCTAGCCTGAGCTACATAGTGAATTTAAGAGCAGCAAACTACATAGTGAGATATTGTAAAAAAAGAAAAAAGACACAAGAGATAACAGTGTAAAAAGAAAGCAGTAAGATTCTATTATTTTCAATTACAAGAAACAAACATGGAGTCATATTGATTTTATACCCAAATTACTTTTGGGGGACCAGTACTCGAGTACTTTTTTTCTGTGCTCTTTTGTACTGCTTTAATTTTATGCTATGGATGGGACCGGGGAGATGGCTCAGGGGAATAAGCGCTTCCCTGGCAAGCCCAAGGGCCTGAGTTCAATCCCTGGTTCCGCCAAAAAAAAAAAAAAAAAAAAAAAAATTTATGCTATGGAGACCTATTACCCTTTAAAAAATTTATTTTAAGTTAAAAAATTTAAAATGATGCATACCTATAATCCTAGTTATCTGGAAGACTGAGGTGACAGTGTCATAAGTTCAAAGACAGCCAAATTAGGCCAGAGGATCTAAATAAAGGAAGGCTGGGGATATAGCTAAGTGGTAGAGCACTTGCCTAGCTTGTGCAAGGCCTTTTCACCTAACATAAGGATTTCTTGTTTGCATGGTTTGAAAATGACTAGGGAGGAACAATTTCTTTGAAGAAATATCTTTCATATCTACTGCTATTGTAGGTCAGATTAAATTAAGATTTACTAGTAGCCAGTGTACTATGTGCCTTGGACCTTCTGTGGACTAACTTTAGTTCATGGAATCATTTTATGAAGACAATAGATACTCTCATTATTAAACAACTAGTTCAGCTATTTAATTTAAATTTATGGTTTTTGGTTTTTGGTTTTTTTCTTTGGCAAAACCAGGGATTGAACTCAGACCCTTGAGCTTGCCAGGCAAGTGCTCATTCTACTGAGCCATCTCCCCAGCCCTACTTATGTTTATTTAATAACTATTAAATAACTAGTTCAAAGTCTCATGGGAAGTAGCGTAGCTGAGATTTGAACTTATGAGTTACGAACTCAAGGAACTATATTTATTGAGTACTATGTTAGTCTATCACAAAATGATTGGGCTGGGGAGATGGCTCAGTGGTCTAACGCACCTACTTAGAACAAGCTTAGCAAAGCACAGGGACCGCGGTTCAATCCCCCAGCACCACATGCCAGCCAGCCCTGCCGCCAGGCGGGCTGAGCTGGCCACACACACACACAAAATAAATAAATTAAATAAAATTTAAAAAAAAAAAATGTTTTTCTTGTTTAAATATCTCTTTGAATGCACTCCAGATACTAGGAAGTGGACATTTATATGTGGATATCATATATTTGAAATAATACCTCTTTTAGAACAAAGAGAATACATCCTAAATTTTTTGTAAATGTTAAGTCAGTGGTTGACAGTATAGGAATTCTATTTTGAAAGTTTCATTACTATTAGGCTTAATAGAAATTGCAATTCAGAAGACCCAGAAAGCTAGTTTTGCCTCTGAATCAAGTGTATATCAAGCCTCATTTCCTTTTTTTTTTTTTCTCTGTGACTGGCTCAGCCTGCCCTGGCAGCGGGGCTGGCACGGCATGTGGTGCTGGGGATTGAACTGCAGTCCCTGTGCTTACCTAAGCAGGAGCTTTAGACCACTGAGCTATCTTGCCAGCCAACAGGCCTCATTTTCTTTTGGCACATAGAGCCTTTGAGGCAATGCTAAGTGAGCACTTGGAGACCACGGAATATCTCCTGCTTCTGAGCTGCCTTGTGAAGTGCTACAGAAGCCTTTGGGTAGTAGGTGGTGAACTCATGAAGCACACGCATTTGGATCACCCACTTGGATCTCTTTGGGGCAGTGTGTTATTCCTGAAAGCTCAGAGGTCTGAAAACACACCGTTGGCCTACTTTTATTTAGTTAATGATGGACAGTTCTTTTGATTGTCTCTTGAAAGCACTAAAGCATTGTGAAAGACTATTCTAGCGTAGATTCCTTTTTAACGTTTGAATTTGCAGGGGCTTTCTATCAGATTCTAGTAACTCAAAATGAGGATTATTTGGTATGTTGATAAGTATAACCTTTTAATTTTTTTCATCCCTTTTGACCCCTTTTCCCTTCTTCATTCCTCCCTGATCCACTTCCTTATCGCTAAAAGTCTGTCTTCTAGTGCATAGACTATTTTTTATAACCTTTCTCTATTTTATTTATTTTTTGTGGAACCGGGGATTGAACTCAGGCCCTTGCGCTTGCCAGGGAAGTGCTTATTCCACTGAGCCATCTCCCCAGCCCCTCTTTTTTATTTTTTTAATTTTTTTAATTTTTTTATTTTTCAAAGTTTTATTGATAAACAGCAATGAGACAGTTTCGAATCAAATCGGAAGTACAGTTTCAAAAAATAATACACTGCATATATTCTTCTTAGTGGTTAATTGCTGTACAAGAAGTGGACTTGTGATCCTATTTACAAACACCATTAGAACAAATCATTCTATTCATTAAGAGAATGCAACTATATATCTATCCCAACCACTTTGAATACACAGATACAAAATGGACATTCATCGGTATACCCCATTTTTTCTAAGTTCCGTTATTGAATATTATAGGTGTGTAAGCTCAGCAAAATATTCTAAAAGAGTCCAGTAGCCCATAATAGCATTGGGTCTTCTGTTTAACTGGCAATGTCAGAAATTATTGACCTGAGTCCCCCACAGCTCAACATAACAGCATGGCTTTATTTCCTATATTTCGTCTTCATACTTTTCTACTGGATGGTTAAGACCAAGGTAAAGCAGGACCTATGCAACAAGAGTTGTAGCTTTTTGGTCTGAGAAGGTCAGTGAAATGCGCTCAGAATTTATCTTGAGATCCTGTACCTCAGATTGTAGAACGTTTGTCTGTGCAGCCATGTGGATGAGTCACGGCCATTGCTTGGCCAATGTGCTCTCTGTGAAAGCCTGAGGGAGTGTCTTCTCCCCATGTGACTCTCCTTAGGCACACTCTACGTCATCGATCACTTTCCTTTTTGGCCCCATAATCTTCTTGATCAGAAAATTTGGGACACTACCAAGGTACATGACGTTACAGTACAAGTTCTCATATGTCCTGAGTCTTAATTGACCTTAGAAGGTTAGGGCCAAAATGTTGGCATTCCTTGTAGCCCTCCTTTTTCTCTAATTTTGGTCTGCAAACTTATGTTGTTAACCATCCAGAAGACAAGCTTATTGTTATTATCAAACGATTTAGGCTATTAAGCTTAACCTCACTATCTCATTGCATTTCAAACATCTTAGGCATAATAAGGAGCAGTTATTCTTCATCAAGTAGTGATATGTTGAACTTTAAGTCCCTAAATAATATGATAAAAACATTTTAAAAATTACATTATATTTTAAAAATAGGATAAAGAATTATATACTTCTCATGTTTGCACATAAGTCCAAAAATCTCATCATATACAACCTTGAAGCAGGACAGTCCCTTTTTTATTTTAAAGAGAGAAAAAAAGTGATACAGAATTTCAAAACAAGATAAGAAACTAACAATGGTTATTATATTGCATATTTCTATCTTCAAAGTAGTTGCTCAGATTATAAGATACAGACAATGCACAGAATATTTTGAAAGGAAAGAAAAAAATTTGATGGAAATAAGATGGGATTATAATAAATTCTTTGGCTTTGATAATTTTCACGTGTCTGAGAGAAAAAGGATACACACATGGCCTTTTGAGAGAATTTTTATTAAAAGGATATCTTGTATTCTTTCAGTTCAGCCAGTTAAAAGTGTGGATAGTATTTGCATACTAGGCTTATTGTGTGTTAGATATTTCTGGTTGTGTCAAAAAGTAAGCCATTGAAGCTTTTTAAAATTAAAAATGTTTGCATAAACCTAGCATATTGTATTCCTTACATGTTTTGTATGTGTGCATAGGATTTTTATATTACGCTGGGAACAGGATGTGTGTTTTTGTTGGCATCGATCATCTTTGTCTCCACTCATGACAGAACCCCTGTTGAAATTGCTGCAATTGTAAGTACTTTGTATTTTTCACATTTTGGGGGGTTTATTTTCCTAGGAATATAGAATTTGAGAAATCTTCAACAAGTTACATGGTATATGAAGATAGTTGGTCTCTTATTTTTGATGTAACTTAAAAGTTAGATCAGTGCCATGCACTGTTCTAGGTGTACAGCAAGACAGAAGAAATGATTCATAAGTTCGGCCTAATAAAGGAAATAGAAGGGGAAATGAAATATAATGGAGTATATTAAATGAACCAGTCGAACTTTGTGTAGATAAATAGCAGTCATCAGTGGGCCATGTATAATCATAAAATATCATCAAGACTCTCTAAGGAATAGTAGGTAGGAATAGCTTTTGTGGAAATCATTTTCCAAATTTTTATCCCATATAGAATCTATGTGTTTGAGAATTCATCTCTGGTGGGGGAGTCTGGCTAGATCTTTCCTATCTTTCTACAGTCAACAACTCCCCCCCAAAAAGAGGAAGAAATAAAGTGCTTGCCTGTCTTAAATTTTATTGTAGTGCATTGCTCTGAGTTGTAAAACAAAACAAAAAATCTTTTTGATTACAAGAGGACAATTGCAAATAAAAGATCCAGTCTTTATCTGAAATCCTTGTTGCCAGATATTTTTAAGAGTTTGAATGATAAAAAAAAAGGGGGGGGGCGGGGAGATGGCTCAGAGGAATAAGCGCTTCCCTGGCAAGCGCAAGGGCCTGAGTTCAATCTCCGGTTCTGCAAAAAAAAAAAAAGTTTGAATGGTGATATTGTACATATACTACATTGTACAACACCTTCAAAGGATCAGGGGCAATATCCTGTATAATTCAGCATTAATATTTAAATATTTACAGTAAAAGACATAAGTAAAGGCTGCAAATAGTTTTGTTGATTTTGACTCAAGTGAATCAGAAAAACATTTGGTTATTTTTAGGTTTTTCAATTTGAGAATTGCAAATCAAGAATTACGGATCTAGCCAGGTTCTGGGGTTGAAAATGCAGCTAACCATGGGAAAACTGATGTTCTTGCCATCATCTGGTTTCCAACTAGGACTTTGTTTTTCACCAAGTGAATTTGTAATTAGAGTTGTTAGCTAAGAAATAATGAAAAATACTTTTTATGATAGGACAATGTAAAAGGATTTCAGAGAATTGCATAGCTATATCTGCTTTTTCATGTGCCCATAATACCACTTTATACCTGTAAGAAATAGGCATAAAATTAAAGCTGAACCTTGACTCATCCTAGCAGCAAGTAATACTCATCACACAAGGGCACACCAACTAGTTGAAGAGAAAAATAAAAGTTTAAATAACCTTATAATTAATTTGTTTTATAAACTTATACATGTTTTCATTGCAGATGTGTTTGATCAACTAAATACTTCTAAGTATAAAAATATATTACTGTAAAATTCTGTGAGGAATGTGGAACAAAAAGTTGAGTTCTAAGGTGTGGAGGGACATGTCATAAAATTCCTAGCAATTAATTATATATTGGGGGCTGGGGAGATAGCTCAGTAGAATAAGTGCTTGCCTGGCAAGTGCAAGGGCCTGAGTTCAATCCCCGGTTCTGCAAACAAAACAAAACAATTACTTTAAAAAAAAAATTGCACATTGTATTTAGGTGATTTATTAGAATGTTATGCAGTAATTAATAGTGTAAAAGGGCTGGGGGGATAGCTAAGCGGCATGAGTGCTTGCCTCAAAAGCGCAAGGTTCCAAGTTTGATCCCTGGTATCACAAACAAAACAGTATGTAAAAAGTCAGGGTTTATAATAAGCTGGAAGTTACCTTTCCAACTAAATTATGAATAATTAGATGAGTATTTTAAAAATTATGTTAAAAGAGCTGAAAGAGCACTCATTTTGATGGCATGGTGTGGAGGGTGTTTATGGGCAGGCGCATTCTCAGCTGTTTAGAGAGACACCTTGACAGATGAGGAAGCATGTTTGCATTTGAAGTATTCAAAGTTTGCTGTGCAGCTAAAGGACTAGATGTCATCAATCCAAAACAAAGTCTGGCCTGCCATGCTGGCTCCACCTCCGGGGCACACTGAGATGGCAGTTTAGACTTGGCGTGGTGGCCCACGCCTGTAATCCCAGCACTTGGGAGGCTGTAAACAAGAGAATCACTAGGAGTCCGATCTAGTAGTGAGACCCTGCATACCCTGTAGACCCTTCCCTAAAACACAAAACAAAATAAAACAAAGTGTGGAGATGAGAGAAAGACTTGGGTTTAGGGCTGTGTTGATAAATAAACTTAGGATGGCTGTCTTAGAGCCATATATAAATAATAGGGTTTTTGGGTACAGGATCTCTATGCAGCTTGGACTCATAGTGATAGTGTCTCAGCCTCCCCAGCACTGGGATTATAGGCGTGTACCACCAGGCCTGGTTCCAGGGCTGCCACAGCATGAGGTACCCGGGATCAAACTCTGAACCTTGTGCTTGCGAGGCAGGCGCTTATGCTGCTGAGTTGTCTCCCCAACCCTATATATATTTTTGCTTTTCCCTTTTTTTCTCCTTTCCCCCATCCCCAGAGCATGTTTTTGCCCCCATTTCCTTCCTTAAGGACTTTGCTAGTAAGGAAGCTATAATTAAGCAAGGTCTTCTGTCTCTTGACAGAATTCTCAGAATGCTTGGTCAGTGTTAGAAGAGTACAAGGAGGAAGTGACTCAAGGAAGAGGAAGTAGGCAGTAGCTCAAGTCATTGTGTCAATAACTTGAGAAAATTACCTGTAAATTTAACCTAATAGTATTTTCAAAATGGAATTTTTGTGCTATTAGTAACTGTATCCATTTGCACTAGGGCCAGGTTGCCTGCTTCCTTATTTCCTCAGCATATCCATCTAGCACTGTCTCAGGTAGAAACCTCTGTTTATATCATTTCATAGGATTTTATTTTTCATCTATTAACCTTAGTTTCCTAGAGTGATGTGCTACATACACATGTTCATGTGTAAGACAGGACAATTTGTATTTTGTGAGATAATAGCTATTGTTTTAGATGTTTCTGTTTATTCTTTACATTTTGGGGTTGTTTAAATAATTTTTAAATATCATCAGATTATAGTGAGTATAAAATAAAATTAATACATTACCCTGCTCATGTGAAGAACTCTCAGAGCCAAGTAGGAAATGTGAGATTATATTCCCTGACTCCTTGTATAAACTTTCCCCCTTTTTCCTTTCTCAGGTGTTTGGCTTTTTAGCAAGTCTTATGTTCCTCCTCGACTTCATGGCTATGCTCTGTGAAAAGCGGCGGGAGGCCCAGCTGAGGAAGTCGGAGGCCCCTCGAGTGGAAGCCCTCACTGAACCACTGAACGCATAGCCCCCGCCAGGCGCTGTGGAAGGAAGCAGCTCTTCTTCCTGCAGCCTCAGCTCTGGCACGGGGTCTTACAGGGTGTGTGCAGTTGGTTAAACCACTTCTTTTTAAGAGCCAGGGGAAGCCAGGAAATGTTTTTATCAATGTTAACCTGTGTGTCAGTCATCACAAGTTAAGCCACAAGGTTTTTTTGTTGTTTTTTTTTTAATTACTATTGAAATGTCTCAAATGTAGGGCCGAGGAAATGGCTCAGTGGAATAAGCGCTTCCCTGGTAAGCACAGGGCCTGAGTTCAATCCCCAGTTCCGGCAAAAAAAAGTTCTTAAGTTGGAGAGAAAGGCGATTCTTTCTTTAAAGTACATAGTTCAAATAATCATAAATAATTCATTCTTTCTTTCTTTTTTTTTTTTTTTTTTTTGCGGAACCAGGGATTGAACTCAGGCCCTTGTGCTTGCCAGAGAAGCACTTATTCCACTGAGCCATCTCCCCGGCCCCTGTAAATAATTCTGTTATTTTGTCACAGGACATTTTCTGTGTAGGCTTAGCTTCTAACTTATGCTTTGAAGCTGTATAAACAGCAGTTAGTTTGTAGTGATTATGTTTGTTAATAGAGACTAATGTATATTTTAAAAAATCAGTATTTAAAATGTTGGTCCAGTTTTTTTTCTTAATATATACTTGGCTTTATTATATATCACTCAACCTTAAAATTGTATGGTAGCATTTTAAGATAGTTTTTAATGCTTTCTGAGAATTTTAGCCTATAATATAAAATGTATGGGAGATGTTAGTATTTTTGTGTGTAAAGGCAACATTAGCAGCCTCATGTTTATATTGCACTTTGGTTGTTGAGATCAAGTTCTTTTTAAAAAGATTGTTATGCAACACATGGAAAAATTAAACCAATGCACACCTAAGGACCTTTTGGACTTTTGAGAAGAATGGACTTTTTGCTCAGTACAGTGAAAATAATTATAAAAACAGGCTTAAGCCACTTACCATGCATGTGAAGAGTAAATTCATGCTGAGTTGAAAGTACTAAAGTACTTTATCTCTCTGTTAGCACATAATTCTTTCTACTTAAGTTGATGCAGCTTTGTGGGTCCTCTTTTATGTGTTCTGTCAGAGGGAATATTGGGTTTTTTAAATTTTTTTTTTTTTTTTTTTTTTTTTTTT